CTGGAGAGTGAAGCTCATAGAGAACAGAGACACCAGCTGATTAAGTAAACATTTAATCTGACAAAAAAAGATTCACAGTGCTGAGTACAAAATACAGAAATAAATTACATACAGATAACAAATTGCAAAACAGTACAAAAAATAAAATAGGAGAAAACACAAGAAATTCCTTACATGCATTTACCCCATATAGAATTCTTGTGGGAGTCTTAGATGGTATAGGTCTCCTAGAAGTTGCTGACCAAAGAAAAAATGAAACACTCCCTGGATAGTCCATCACCCTCATTCTATACTTAAACTAGTTGTTTCTCAGTGGGCAGACCCCTGGGGGGCAGGGAGGTAGAATGAGAGGGGGTTGGTCTGGCAGTTTATTGCCCATTCCTTGTGTCCAGCTCTGGTGATGGCTATCTAGATGTTTTAAGGTCTAGGCCTGGTGCAAGATCAAAGACCACAATAAATGTCATCCCATGCAATTCCTTGTGTCCAGCTCTGGTGATGGCTATCTAGATGTTTTATTGTCTAGGCCTGGTGCAAGATCAAAGACCACAATAAATGTCATCCCAAGGTTTACAAAAAAAAAACAACTCTTAACATATATCAACACACATCAAACACCAACTCATGCTTTTGGCATGACAGTAAGCATCTCAGTTTCTTTGGCCAGCATGGATTTTGACCAAACAGATTTAATTGCAAATAGGTAGGTCAGCCAGAGAGATTGGTGTGTAGTCCCAAATATCAGGCGGCACAAACAGGGGCCTACCTAGAGCATTTGGCACCCGGGGTGGACCTTGAGTGTGGCACCCCACCCCCCATAATAAAAATGTAAGAAAACACCCACAATTTTTTCAATGTTTTCAATAACATTTATTTCACAAATTTGTAAACTGTATATCAACTTAGAAATAAGATTAACTTAGAAATAAGAAATAAATAAAATTTAAATAATTAACATTTACTTAATACACCCCCCATAATTAATACACCCCCCATAATTAATCCACTCCCCCATAATTAATACACCCCCCATAATTAATCCACTCCCCCATAATAATACACCCCCATAACACCCCCCATAATTAATCCACCCCCCATTATTAATCCACCCCAATATATACACCTCCATAATTCCCACCCCCCATAATTAATCCACCCCCAAATAATCCACCCCCATAATTAATCCACCCCCATACTCAACCCCCATAATTACTACCCCCATAATTAAACCTCCTCCATAATTAATCCACCCCCACAATTAATCACACCCCATAATTAATCCACCCCCACTAAACCTCCCACTAATAACACACCCCCATAATTAATCCACCCCCATAATTAATCCACCCCATAATTAATACACCCCCATAATTAAACCCTCCATAATTAAACCTCCCTCTCCATACCAATACAACCCCCATAATTAATACACCTATAATTAATACACCCCAATTAATTAATTACACATAATTAACCACCCCATAATTAATAATACACCCCCATAATTAATACACCCCCCATAATTAAACCTCCCTCCCCTTTAATTCTTTAATTATACACCCCCCATAATTATACACCCCCCTTTTAATTAATTTAATAACATCACATAAATTACATAAACACATAAATGAATAACATCACATAAATTACTACTCACGTTTTGATGATGCCTTCCCTCCGAGACTGACCACAGGATCCTTGCGCTGAAGATCCGTGAAGGCGGACTGTCGGCGGCGCTGCGTACGGCGTCATCACTCCGCGTCCCGCAAGTCTCCTCCCACTTCTCAGCCTCCGCAAAGGTGCTGCCGCTGTCCGCAGCGTAATGATTGGGGCCGGGGGGGGGTGACACATGACACTGGAAGTCATGGAACCCCCCTAGTCAGTGGCACCCTTGCAGCTTCTCCCAAAATCCAGCTGAAACAAAGTGATTATAACTCCCAATCCCCCAAACATGAGTCGAGACTTCATGAAGGGGTAAAACGATCTGATTTACTGTGGGCTACCTGCCCGGTATTTATGCAGTTCTCCCACCTGGTGGACACTCCCCTAAGGGACCAGATGGAAGACTGGGACAAAAGAATTGCAGTAGCCAATCGCAGTGGCTATAACATAAGCACTCCCCTTTTACATAGATCACTCCCTCCTTTCCATCCTGGAGATAATTAACTTAAGGTAGTAAAGAGAGCCTTAATTATCTCCAGGTAGAAAGAAACATGGCTTTTCTTATATTCACCAAACAGCATAAAAATCTATAACTTACATTTTACAGAACATAAACTTTAAGTCCATTATACCCCCAGATAGCTTGGATCTGAGTGCATATTCTAGGCGAATAGCGCTCAGATCCCACGAACACAGTTCTCAAAAACATCGACTGAAGTTTGATTTTCACCAGCCGTTCGCGTGTTTTTATCCGACAAAGAGTTCCACACTGTAGCTATCTGGGGTCGGTCACTTTCGCATACATCCAAGATCCGAATGGTGTAGGGTCTCTGGCATTCGTGTGTTTTCCACCATATGAACGAGGACCTTGATAGGTAACAGCGGTGTTCGGCAGAATTAGTATCCGAAAAGAATTCCAGGGCATCGCCGCCATTTACCGCTGAGCGTTCGACAATCTAAAATGGCGACTGCCACGTGTTCGGTAGACGAACGCGGACCACCAAGCTATTCCCCAATTAGTCTGTGGTTAACCGCAAAGTCTGGGTGGTTAATGGGCGCCACACGACCTCAGTAGGAGGTCGGGTGATTCGGCAGTTTATTTGTTTTCTCGCTATTTGCACGAAATCACTCTACGCACATCTAAATAACCGAACAGGCTGGTTCGCATAGTCTGTTCAATAGGGGATTTTGTTACAATTACTTTAATAAAATTGGAATGCTGAAGTCTGTCATAAATTTTGTGGACCCTGATAACATTTTTTGAAACCGAAACCTTTTTTATAGATCCCGATGTCTAAAAAGCCACCAGTTCTGTATGTGTGTGATCATGTTTTAATACTGTACAGTTATCCCACTTAAACAATCTTTTTTTTTTCCAGAACAACTAGGAATGAAATAGGAGAAACAAAATGAATTACTATTGTTCTAAAGTACTTTGTTTAATACAGGTTTCGGAAGAGTTGTCTTGCTGTGTTAAGGTTGCAAATGGCCTCCCAACTTCAGCTTGTACATCCTCTAAGAGCCAGCATTAATACTGTTTTATCACTCAAAACTATATATAAAGTATTAAAAACATGAACCATCTGTGTATTAGGCTGGGGTTGTTGGGTGTGGGTATAGGTTGGAAGCTATGGTTGGTATTGAGGAACCTGCGAGGGTGGGTCCTTGAACGCCAGCTGGGCCAGGTTCTCCCTTAGCACCGGGTTCTCCTTTGTTTCCTTGAGCACCACAGGCACCAGGAAAGCCAGGGCACCAGCAATACCAGGAGTACCAGTGGGGCCAGCTTGACCGGGAGAACCGGGTTCACCATGAGCACCTTGGGATTCATCCATTTAAAAAAATAAATAAATTGAATAAGTGAATAAACACTCAATGCACAATAATTTTTTAGGATCCTTAACTGTATATCAAATATTTGTTTTTTATATAGGTGCACATGTATTGTTAGATATATGAGCATTAATGTTGTTAGATATGTACTTTTTCCTCATATATAGGGTTAATGAGAGAATAGATTGATCATTTACACTATATGGTATGAAATGTTTTTTCACATAGCACTTTTATACAGCATATGGTTTGCACTTTATATAATATGCACTTTCACTTTATAATATCCAAATATGGATTGTTTTGTATGTATTAACATACATCCTTCTCTCAAGAGCACTTTATTTATATGCACTGGCCTCTTAATAGTATGCAAGCATGTCTGAGTACATTTATGACTTTATGCACTTTGATCACACTGACAACACTGTCACTTTAATTTTAATGGAGCTGATATAATACAGAGCTCATTCATATATAAGGCACTTATTTTATTTAATGTTCATCTTCACATGTTATTTATTTTAGTAAGTATTTATACCCGGGTCTGCCCTCTTTCACATTTACTGGCCGCGGTGATGCTTTGTTTACTAGCATCACCGTGGCAACAATCATCCCGGTCTGCTTGCCTGTGTTCAGCTAACCGCGGTGATGCTTTGTTTATTAGCCAGCTTGACCGGGGTGTGGGTCAGGCCTTGATTACGTCATGACGTTACGGCAGGGGGCGGAGTCAGCTTGCACATGCGCACTGAGTGGGGTAGAACGCCGATTGAATGGCGGTTTTCACCTGGGGTAAGCCAATTCTTTTAATAATTTTATGTATAAATGTCTTGTCTGTTTAATACACTGTTTTTCATCTCTTTGATCCTGAGGAAAGTCCTTGAAGGACTGAAACGTTGATCTTGGATGTTTTAACTTATTTTCAATAAATTTAGATTTTTTATTTACCGTGAGTGCAGCTACTTGTTGGATTTATATATGGATGGCCATGACTTGCTAGCACCCGAGCACCAAGGGTAATTTGAGCGTGAGTGCAGGAGCTACTGGTATTTTTTATATATATATATATATATATATATATATATATATATATATATCTATATCTATAATTAAAGAATGAATTATATATTTGAAGGTGTGTGCACTGCACGGTATCCCCAGCAAGTACAGGCCTCCTAACTCTTCTACTTTTGGCAGGACTAGCAAAATATATTTTACAACAGCTTGCTTTTAATGAATTAAGCATTAATAAAGTTACAGTATGCAATATTAAGAACTAATTTAAAAACTGCATTTTTGCCTCATTTAAAAATTGAATATAACTTCTACGGTATATTAGATATTCTGGAAATTACCAGATAACAATTTGAAATACAAGTTTAAACTACACTGCATTTTCATGTGTGTGCTTAGGATAGCAATGTGTTCCAACAGTGTGGCATTTTAAAAGTGACTTTTAAGTTGACACAAGGCTCTGAAGGGCTGGTTGTAATATAGTACCTCAGCTGTCACTCAGTGCCAGCAGTTGTCAAGACCCTTCTAGGACAAAATCAGAAGAACTCATGTCATTTCACTGACTAACATACCCATTTTTCTCAAACAACACTAAACATTTATATAGGTAAGTAATTATTCTTTATTAATGAATTCATTTATAACTATATAACTATTGGCTTACATAACTATTAATAACTTAATGTTAAATTATTACTATGTTTGGCTATATAATTTCCTCCCATGCATGCCCCCTGAAGAGTGTTTAATCCAAAAGATTTACTTTATGTCTTTGTTCCACTATATTAGAGAAAACAATATATGATGTTTTTGAGTGGCTCTTATTTAATATCTTAGATTTAAACATAACACATAATGGGGAATGCATAATGTTTTCTGAAAATATTGAGAAATGTACTGAGAAATGTTTAGTAACATTATTTTGCTACTATAATGTTTTTTATATTTTATAATATTTGTGTCTAGCTTCCTAAACAATAATTTTATGTAGGCATCTTTAATTTTGTAAACAAGTTTTAATAGAGAAATGTTCTAAATATTGTGCTTCTGACGATCTTAGCAAGCAACCTAAATAATATTTTTGTAATATTAGTTTGTGTGTTTGCATGTTTATATGCGTGCTCATACATCCTACAAAGTAATAATATATTGGGTAATCTATGCTGTGTAAAATCTATAGCATTGTGAGGATTAAGCTAAATTACTTTTATTGGCATAGCGACATTAGCATTGTGACATGGTCTCATATTGATTTAAGGACTCCTTTTAAAACACAATAAAATAATGAGGCATTATCATGAAAAAATGTTTCCCTGTTGTCCAACTCATTTTAGGCACCATAATCATTATAGCCAATGAAATGTGAATGAAATTCATATTACTTATGTGGACGTGTAACTTCCATGTTAGCAATAGATGAGAAGAAGGCCAGGGGTGCCTCATGGATCGTTGGTTATGGTCAAACTGCTCAAAAACGGTTTGACCAAGAACTGGGAGATGGTAAAAGTAGAGATAAGCATATAGTAATTATGGTGCGAAGATTGCCCTTTTAAAATTACAGTTCTGCTTTAGTCCAATTTTAGATTTTATTTCATACAGTTTGGATTGCATGGGTGAAAAGCAGTCATCTATGCTTATTTAGCAATAAATAAAATGATATGATATTGTTAGGATTTAATTAGCACTAGCCCCAAAAAGTGACCTATTATTTATGCTAACAATGGGAAGGGAAATAAAGAAGCAATCCCAAGCATTATGACTGTTATTTCCATATAAGTATACACACAAACCTGATTTGCATAACATCCTTTATCTACTTGCTTCTCATTATTACTCTAATGCAAACGGCTGTATAGAAATATTAAAAAAATAAATAATAATAATACAATAACATATCTCATGCTACCTGCTGCAACTAAGTTGATCATGATTCTATTTATTTTTTGGTTAAAATACTTGTTTTTTACTATGTAACATTCCTTCTAATTTGTGACTGATTTCCCCCGAAAACCTCAATTAACTGGGAAAAATACTTCAACAGGCTCATGACCCATCTCTCTTGCCATGACATTGACAGAAACAGTACCCAATATAAAATGTTCATATAGTAAAATTTCTGTGACAGTACGCAAGTAATTTATTTTAGTTTTGATTTTCCTAATGAACTAGAATTACATGTTAAGGCTTACCATCCCAAATAATGGTCCATAAATATTACTGGCACTCAGAGTATTGACATTTCAACCAGCAACAATCGGGTTTTAAAATTATCTTGGACATCTAGGCTTGATATTCTTCTGTTACCAAATACCAAATAAGATGTAAGCCAAGCAACATAGTTTTACATCAATGCTATTACTGGACAGAGTTATCCTCTGGGTAGGTTAATAGTGAATGAGACAGAATTTGCTTGGCTTCTTTTCTGGTGTGACAACTGGAGGAGATAGCTACACGTTAACAGCAAGATTACCTTGAACATTCACAGATGAATGTCATTTGCCATATTACCCTGGAAAATTACATCATGTTCCATAGTTGAACACATATGTACTCACTACCAAAAGCATTGCCTCTGACTTAAAGGGACACTATAGTCCCCAAAACAACGTTAGCTTAATGAATCAGTTTTGGTGTATAGATCGTGCACCTGCAATCTCATTGCTCAATTATCTGCCATATAGGGGTTAAATCACTTTGTTTATGCAGCCCTTGTTCACGCCTATTTGCATGCGACTTACACAGCCTTCCTAAACACTTACATAATGTATACACTTCCTCTATAAACTCTGTTTAATTTAGAATTTCACACCTCCTGATCTGTTAGTAGCTTGCTATATCCTGTAGAAGGCTCCTGTATGTAATTAAAGTTCATTTACAGAGCAAGAGATACAAACTTTCAAAGTAAGTTAACATCTAATTGAAAATTAAACCATTTTGTTTCCATGCAGGCTATGCCAGTCACAGCCAGGAGAGTTGTGGCTAGGGCTGAAAAAACAGAAACAAAATTATTTAACTTCTTCATGGCAGTGAACTGAGCAGTCAGATTTCAGAGGCAGGATCTATGCACAAAAACTGCTTCAATAAGCTAAAGTTGTTTTTCTGACAATAGTGTCCCTGTAATGTTGTTTGAAAGGAAACTCCAAAAATACATATAATTTGTAGTTCATATTGTTGTTGTTGTTATTGCCATTTATATAGCACCAACATATTCCATAGCGCTGTTCAATATTATAAGAGGGGGGGGGGGGATGTAACTATAAATAGGACAATTACAAGAAAACTTACAGGAACAATAGGTTGAAGAGGATCCTGCTCAAATGAGCTAGTCTATAGGAGGTGGGATATAAGACATGTTAGGACAGGAAATATCAATCAATTAGGGTGGGAAAGAAGCAGAGCTGGAGGAGAAAGTATATATATTTAATTATTACAGAAAATATGCGTTTATTAACATTTGCATATTTTCTATGCCCTACAAGTTTGGAGTCATTAGTAGATATGATCTTTGAGGTTAATGAAAACTTACCACCTTTTGCCCAGCGCTAGGCACTTTCCAGTAAAGGCATTGTAAAGAGATGGGTAATTCATGTAGATTTAAGGTTTGTATATAAAAAATGTTTTTAAAAATAAATAAATAAAAATACAATCTCAGCCAACCACTTGATTGGTATTATATTCCACATAAGCCTTTAATCAAAGGGTTGCTTTACTATTCGATAGTAGCATGTATATTTTTTGACTCCCACCAGCCACAGCCAAAATGTCACACAACATGATAGAGGTCCAGCAAGGGTAGACAAATAATTGCACTAATTTTGATGGGACATAAATTCTAAACATAGTGTTTGTGCTTTTTATTTCTCTGACCTCAGTGCTGAATTAATGTAAGGGTATTGGAACTGCAGCTGGGGGCCCATAATTGATTGTTTAAAAAAAATAAAAAATAATCTTTATTGCTCTACATATAAATAAAAAATGTCTGGGTCACAAAAGTACAGGAATGACAATAAAGTGCTATTATCAATAATATACAGTAGGTGTGGGTAAATAAAATAGTCCAAATCAGTCTTAAAAATAGTCCAAAATTGTTTCTAAATTATTCTGACTAACCCTTTAAAATGAATTTTGCTATGATGGGTAGAAGATTTCTACAGGATTATACCACTAAACGCTATCAGAACTGGAGCTGGTCATAGCTCCACAAAATGTGAGTAAGTGATCATTGTTTTATTACCTATTAGTCATTTAAGTTTACATATTGCACTATTGCATTTCTCGTAATCCATACATTATGTCTTGCATAATGGATTACACTAAGAGATCTTCTACCCATCATATTCGCAGATACAAGGACGAACTGCCAAACCATGAATTCCTATGGCACTGCAAAATTCATTTTAAAGGGTTACTCATAATAATTTATAGACTACTTTGGAAATTTTTTAAGACTGATTTGGACTGTTTTATTTACCCATGCCTACTGTATAATAATAATAATTGATAATAGCACTTTGTCATTCCTGTACTTTTGGGGCACAGCCATTTTTTCTTTGTTGTTCTTGTTGATCTACTGAAGGGTTTAGAGGCATCCCCTTCTTTTAGTTTGCTGCCTTAATTTTGATTTAATTAGCTCTAAACCTGCTCCTTTTTTCCCTGTATTACTCTACATATGCTTTTTCTCTATGCTGTTGTGCACGGGGAAGCATAGGCTTGCGCAGCCTATTGCATTAGGGTGTGCACCCTAAACCACAAACACACGCCGCATATATATATATACATACACACATATGCATATATATACAGCCAAAAGTACATACACACATACGCATAGATATATATACATACACACATATACATACACTGCTGTTAGTGTGCTGTGTGTGTAAGGGTGCTGTGTGTGTGTGTGTGTGTAAGGGTGCTGTGTGTGAGGGCGATGTTAGTGTGATGTGTGTGTGAGGGTGCTGGTAGTGTGCTATGTGGGTGAGGGTATTTGTCTGTGTGTTTGTGAGGGTGCTGTTAGTGTGCTGTGTGTGTGAGGGTGTTTGTCTGTGTGTGTTTGTTAGGGTCCTGTTAGTGTGCTGTGTGAGGGTGCTGTGTGTGTGAAGGTGCTGTTTGTGTGATGTGTGTGTGTGTGAGGGTGCTGTTTGTGTGCTGTGTGTGAGTGTCGTGTGTTTGTGAGGGTGCTGTTAGTGTGCTGTGTGTGAGGGTGCTGTTTGTGTGTGAGTGTGAGGGTGCTGTGTGTGTGTTTGTGAGGGTGCTGTTAGTGTACTGTGTGTGTGAGGGTGCTGTGTGTGTGAGGGTGCTGTGTGTGTGGGTGCTGTATGTGTGAGGGTGCTGTATGTGTGAGGGTGCTGTGTGTGTGCTGTATGTTTGGAGGGATTGTGGGGGTGGAGGTGGGGACAGATTAGTAAATATCCCCCTCCCTTCTTACCTTATGTAGGGAGGGGGATCCTTGCTGCCATGTACCATCCCTGGTGGTCCAGGGGAGAGTGAACTCTACCTGTGGGGTTCACTCTCGTGAGATCTGAGCGTGGCCGTGGCCGAGAGGAACCCAGCGGAGCTGCTGGCTAGAGCTCCCCAGGTCCTCTCCTGCCTCTGTCCATGCTGCTGTGGGCCGGTGAGGAAGATCTTTGATCTCCCCACCGGTCCATGGAGGCTTAGAGCAGAGCCGGTGCACACTGAGCACACCCCATGCACATGCCTATGCGGGGAAGTCAGTATGGGAACTTCAGAGTAAGGCATTGGACAAGTGAGGCCTGAGGAGAGAAAGGATTCAGAGTTTGTCATTAGGAGACTTGGAGATTCATTTTGTTACCAACTGCAATTCGGTCAACTTCGTGCCGATTCGGAGATTGGCCAAAATTCTAATTTCCGAACCACCAGGTGCCACAATCTTGGAACAAATAACTTGTGCAATACACAATGGTAATTGTTTTAATTTGTGATTCAGAGTGCTGTTTCTAGCACCAGTGTAGCAGAGCCCTAGTCCTAGCAGGGACTTCCCTGCGCTGGATCACGCAAGAGTAAAATCAGGAATTACACCAAGTAAATATCCCACCTCCTCCCCAGCAACTGGATGACACACAGTTCTGGGAGTACAACTGGTTATATTCCTGCAACACACTGCTTTTATACATTGCCCCTAGCATGGGGTTTCTCAGTTACAATTACAGGACTTTTCTTCCCAAGAGCCTCTGTGTCTGAGAGATAATTGTGTGAGAAAAAGCTATAACTTAATTATCTCTCAGGTCCAGAAAAATCTACAATATATACAATATTTTAAAACATCCCAAAAATCCATTTTAATAACTTCAGCACCCCACCAAAGTCATATCACCGAATAGCTTGGATTTGAAAACAAGGCAATGACAGGTCATCTTTCAGGGGTTCTCATACAAACACTGATGAATGGTTATTAGAATGCTCCCCGTGTTCGGTAGTTTATGCCTCCCAAACACCGTTCTTCTAACTGTTTAGAAAGTTGGATGGGCAGCGGTACCAGTTTCCCGGGCGTTTGCGGGGACGCGTATACAAAAATAGTTCCACGCCATCGATGATCATGTACCGCTGCCCTCGTTCAGGAGACAAAATAGCCGCCAATTGTTTGAACACGTGCGGCACACAAGGAAAGCACTTGATCTAATAACCCATTTGTGGTTCACAGCCAGGGGTTGTCGGTGATTATGAAGGTGCGTACAAGGGACCACACAGCAAGTGGGTTCAGTAAATGAATGCGGCATACGGACAGTCGAACAAAAGAGAATAAAAATATATTTGAGTTCTCCATTCTACAACCAGAAAAAATTCAAATGGAATGGAGAAGAGACTTTTGGGGAGTGGAAGAGGGGGGGAGGGTAGGTCAAATAAGTATTTTAGTTTACCATGATGGGCAAGAAGTCTGCCCAATATTGTGGGCTCTATCTCCTGTCCAACCAAGAGGTGGATAACACAAGTATATTGATGGTTAAGGGTCAGTAAATGTTGATTTCATTCACAGATCAAGTGACTACTGACCAATACATGGGAAAAAAGAGGAGCAGTAAAACAATCTATACTTAATCTATAGTAGATTACGTTTGGCCTGGGCCCTAGACAGGTTGCCTGATTGGTGCACCCTCTTAGAGCTCTGAGCTCTGTTTCTGTGAGTGGTGTGTGGGAATGTGGATACTTGCTGAGGATTGTGTGTGGAGGAGGATGAGGGTTTTATGGGGGAGGGGAATGGCTATTTAGCATTATGTACCTGTGTATGTGCCTTAAAGCATATGTGGGTGCATACCATACTGACTATGTCTATGTCTCTGGCATGTGTGTGCCTGCCACTATCTTACAAGTCTCTTAAAGGCTTGTAAGATGGACTGAGATTAGAGCTAGAAAAAAGAGATTGACATATGGTATGAGTAAGCTTAAAACACATCCTGTAAGTGACCCTCCAGCCCTATATTGACCAGATACTAGAACCATAGGTGATTTTGCTGTTTTAGTGCTTTCTTGCTATAAGACTCTATAAGACAAATCTAAGACATATTTGTCAGCACTGTTTATGAAACTTAATAACAGCTCAAATATGTCCTTTAGTTGAGTTGAAGAAATGTTCTTACAACTGACGTTTAATCTACAAATAGACTGTTGTACAGTAGAAATTCATATTTGCTATTTCAGTATTAACACAAATTCTGAGATAGTGCTGTGATATATGTAATACATTTGTTCTCAATTTTATCCTTTGGGTTGTTTTACCTTAGATGTTCTATCTTTAATTGTCTGTGGTAAAGCAGATAACAGTAGTACGTTAGTGGCATACAATATTGCCATGTAGCTCACTTGTAAAGCTCAACATTGTTTTAGTATTCATTGTGTTCTTATACTTCAATTACGGGAGGGAGGTATTAAGATCCAGATCACTTTGCAGAGTTTAATCCTGTTCTATGTGCTTGCCAAGAGGTATGGCATGCATGGAGCAATGATATAATTACATCAGATAGTAGTTGGGAAAATATTTTGGAAATTCATGGATTAATTGACATGCACAGGTGCAATGCACTCAGTCCTTGGACATGATATAACTTTGCAAGTTCCTTAGCTAGCAGACGGGCCACAGGGGAGATGAAAAGATTTTCAGAACCAAAGCAAGAGACATCTAAATGGAAACTGACTGTCTTATAACAGATGCAGTCTAGCAATTACATATTACATAGTTACATAGCTGAAAAGAGACTTGCGTCCGTCAAGTTCAGCCTTCCTCACATTTGCTTTTTGCTGTTAATCAAAAAGAAGGCAAAAAAAAAAAACAGTTTGAAGCACTTCCAATTTTGCAACAAACTAGGGAAAAAAATCCTTCTTGACCCCAGAATGGCAGATTTATCCTTGGATAAAGAAGCTATTACCCTACATTGAAAAATGATATCCTTGAATATTCTGTTTTTCCAAGTATGCATCTAGTTGCTGTTTGTACATCTGTATGTACTCTGATAAAACCACTTCTTCAGGCAGAGAATTCCACCTACTTATTGTTCTTACAGTAAAAAAACTTGTCTTTGCCTTAGATGAAATCTTCTTTCTTCCAGTCTAAACGCATGACCTTGTGTCCTATGTAAAGTCCGGTTTGTGAATAGATTTCCACACAGTGGTTTGTATTGGCCCATATATCTTTGTATAATGTTATCATATCCCCTCTGAGGTAACGTTTTTCAAAACTAAAGAGGTTTAAATTTGATAACCTTTTTTCATAGCGGATATGTTCCATTTCTTTCATTAATTTTGTAGCCTGCCTCTGTACTTTTTCTAGTGCCATAATATCCTTCCTTAGGACAGGTGCAGAGAATTGCACAGCATATTCAAGATGTGGTTTAACCAGTGATTTATAAATAGGCAAAATTATATTCTTATCCCGAGAATAAATGCGCTTTTTCATGCATGACAATACCTTACTGGCCTTAGCCACTGCTGACTGGCATTGCACATTGTTTCATAGTTTGTTGTCTATTACAATTCCCAAGTCCTTTTTGTGTATTATCGCTAATTCACTTCCATTAAGGTTATACGTTGCTTGTGCATTCTTTACGCCGAAGTGCATAACTTTGCATTTTTCAACATTAAATTTCATCTGCCATTTGAGTGTCTACTACCCCAGTCTATCTAAATCCCTCTGCAGAAAAGTAATATCTTGCTCACATTGTATTACTTTACAGAGGTTTGTGTCATCAGCAAACACTTAAACATTTATAGAAGAGATAAAAAATCTCACAGACAAGGAGTTAATAGTGTGAATAGAGGTATTACTCTGACTGGAAATGATAGGGTTCCCACCAAATCACCCCAAAGTGCAAAGTAAAGATAAAGGATTAGATTAATTCTAATTATTATCCAGGAGTAATATAGGAAATATATCTGGTAAAATGGTATTGATAGTATTGCTTATAAGTCAATATTGATAAAACACAGTATACATATGTATTAAATCTGCAAATATGGGAACCAGATTTGCACCAAGTTATGCCAGTCTTTTTATGGGTAAATGGGAGGAAGAATTTATTTGGACCCATAACCCGTTTGGCGCAAGTCTGGTCCTATGGTGACGTTATATAGATGACTGCATTTTTATCTGTATAGGAGATGTTCTTTGGATTCTTTTAAGGAATATTTACATTTTAATCCTTACAATCTTAAATTTACCTTTAATCAATCAATAGAGAAACTAGAATTTTTAGATTTGTAAATTTATATTAAAAACAACAAGATAGAAACTAAAACATTCAGGAAATCAGTTGCATGTAACAGTTTTATTCCACATGACAGTTTTCACAAATCTACCTGGCTTAATAATATACCCTTTAGCCGAAGAATTAAACTAAACTGCTCGGAACCTGCAATCTGTACTCAACAAATTGAAGAGATGAAGTCCCAATTTCAAGCTAAAGGGTATTCTGAAGACTTACTTGACACAGCTATCAAAAAAACTACTGGATTATCATGTTCACAAATTCTAGAAACAAAATTCAAAGACTCCACCAATGATTCAAATATCCCATCGTTCATCACTAGATTTAACAATCAATCTAGCCAAGTAAAAAACATTCTACAAAAACAGTGGAACATCCTCAAAGGTGACCCACAACTAGATGCAATATTAGGGAATACACCTTCAATTAATAATTCAAAGGCACCAAATCTAAGCACCTTACTGGCACCAACCACTAAATAGGAGAAACCAGATGACAGAAACTCCATAGAGTCCAATAATAAGAAAGGATTTTGGAAATGTAAAACATGCATAGCATGTAGAAATAATCCAAATCAACCAACACACAGCAATGTATTCAATCATCCTCAAACAAAAGAAATATTCAACATCAAAACCCATTCAAATTGCAATGGGTATTGCTGTCCCTGCAATAAGCTTTATATAGGATGAACCTAGAGAGCACTTAAAACTAGAGTGAGCGAACACATAAGGAACATTAAAAAAGGTGTTCATACACACAACCTTTCAAGACACTTTGATATTAAACATGGAATAAATACAACAGAATTAAACTTCATGGCAATACAGAAAATGAATATTCAATGGAGAGGAGGAGACCTAGGAATAGAGTTGAATAAAGCAGAAGCTAAGTGGATTTTCAAATTAGACACCTTAGAACCCAAAGGGCTAAATGTGGACTTCAAGCTTAACGCCTTTTTATAATACTTGCCCTTTTTATAATATTAACCCATTCATTCTTATCTTTTTATTTGAATATACAACTTTATAGTATTTTTCTTCTTTTTAATACATATTTATTCCATGATTTTATCTCTTTTTTTCACTAGTGTCTAAGATTTAAAGCTCAATCTCTTTTCACTAGCATCTTATTTATTCTCTTACAAATTATTTAATTTTTTTAACTCACATCTCTGTTCTTTAATGATTCTGTTTTAGCCTGGAATAACTGAATTAAGGTTATATTATGCTTCTTTTCTATTCATTCTTTTATTTATTTTTAAATAAGTAATGTTAAACTGTCACTTTAATTATATTAACAGAACATCCATAAATGTATCCCTATATTGTCTGGTTGCATATCTAAAATCACTATATATATGACTTTTAAACAAGCACATTTTTATTGTCAGAATCTTAAGTATCTTTGAGAAATTCTATGCATTCATACCATTGAACTTCTGATATAATGAAATCTCTGTAATCTGTAAACAGACTTTTAAACAAAGGCATTTTTTTTATACTAATGTATTTTCCATCCCATGTATTTCCAAGTTTATATATATTTTGTAAATTAATCATCAAGCCAAAATGTATGATAAGTATTTATTACAAAAGCCTATTACAAAAGACTATAACAATCATCTCTGGCAACCAAAAGGTTAATAAATAACAAAGACTACATCAGCTATTTAAACTCATTCAAACAGCATCTTCTGATGAAGTGAGTACGCTCACGAAACGCGTAAGGACTTTGAAGCATTTAGATTTTCGGCACCAACGACAAAGCATTGCCGAGCTGGAAATTGGAACGCACAGAGGGGAAATCGGTGGGACGCACACGGTCACAAGCAGAGCCTTACCATCAACTGGCCGGATTGCAGAACCCTGTATCACATCACCCTAAAAATATCATCCAGCTCTTCCATATCCTCTTGGCATAATTTGTGAGTGCAATTTTAACTTTACTCAGTTTTCGAATAAAAATGTATTCGTTTAAACAGAAAACACTATGGGATTTTGTTTTATCTTCCCATAGATTGAAGATACTTCCTATAATTTGGGGTCTCTCATATGATCTTAAAGTTTACAACTGATTACGGAGAAACATAGTGTACAATATTACAATTATATACCATTTGAAGAACCAAGATTGTTTTTGTACTATATTAACATCGCTTGTTTAGCAGATATACCCCAGCTAACACAGTAACTGGGATAACTGCCATCAGTTAACATTTCAAAAGACTATTTTTGCAACTGTATCTAAATAGATTATACAAAGTTGCAAACTATTGTGGACTTTAAACAGCTCTTTTTAAACACTGAAGTTTTAACACTCAGAATCCTTTTTTGTCAACCAGTACTTTTACATTTTGCATATAATAAGGCTATTGTATGGTGTAATATTTGCAGATTTAATACATATGTATACTGTGTTTTAGCAATATTGACCTATAAGCAATACTATCAATACCATTTACCAGATATATTTCCTATATTACTCCTGGATAATAATTAGAATTAATCTAATCCTTTATCTTTATTTTGCACTTAAATATGACTTTCAATGCTTTTTTCAAGATTATTTATGAATATGTTAAATAGAAGGGATCCCAGAACAGAACCCTGAGGGACACCACTTGCCACCTCTGTCCAGCTTGAAAATTTACCATTAATGACAACTCTTTCTACTCTATTTTTAAGCCAATGTTCTACCCAAGAACAAGAATTTTCATCTAGACTGATTTCTTTGAGTTTGAACACTAATCTATTGTGTGGAACTGTATCAATTGCCTTGGCAAAACCCAAATAGATCACATCCACTGCAAAACCCTGATCTATATTTCTACTTACTTCTTCGTAGAATGCAATCAAGTTAGTTTGACATGAACTGTGCTTCATAAAACCATGCTGATTTTTGCTGAACCATGTTCTTCTCAAGGAATTCTTGAATATCATCCCTTAACTATCTTTCAAATACTTTCCCAACCACAGAAGTTAAACTCACAGGTCTATAATTTCCAGGCAAGGATTTTGAACCCTTTTTGAATATAGGAAGCACATCTGCCCTACTTCAATCCTCCGGAACACTTCCTGAAAGAAAATAATCTTGAAAGATTTCTAGATTTCACTTATTTCTACACTTAGTTCCTTAAGTACTCATGGATGAATACCGTCAGGCCCTGGAGCTTTGTTTATATTAACTTTCTTTGTTTCTGCAGCACCTTGTCTTGAGTTAACCAATTACAATTTTTCTGCAAGTTTTTAGCAGCAATCATTTGCACATCTATTGCCATGGGTTCTTCCTTAATATATACGGAGGAGGAGAAATAGTTATTTAAAAATTCTGCCTTTTCCTGGTCTTCATTAACACCCCCATCCCAGTATCTAGTGTACCTACACTTTAATTTTTTTTAGAATTTATGTACTTAAAAAAAGCTCTGTGGTTGGTTTTGCTCTCTTTGGCGATCATTTTTTTCATTTTAAAGTTTAGGGAATCTAATCGCCGTTTTGTACACATTATTGGCTTCCTTATATCTTTTTGGCTTTAACTCATGGTTGACATACAAACATACCCTACCACCATTCCTGTTTTTTTCTGTCCTTCCTAAATAGTGTGTACCAATTTAAGTTAACTGCCCAGTCATGTGTCTCATCCCACCATGTTTCAGTTATGCCTATTATGTCATATTGTTTAGTGTATACTATTGCCTCTAGTTCCCCAATTTTGTTATTTAGGCTCCTTTAGTAAACATACATTTAATATTATCATGAGTCATTTGTACTTTTTGTAAAAAAATCAACATTACATACCTTATCTATTCTGAGCTTGCCCCTCCCCCTTATACTGAGCTAAAGCTTATCTCCTTTCTGTCCTATCTCCATTTTGTAGATTGCTATGACCCTCCCACCTACTACTAGTTTAAAAATCTCATCCAACCTTCTAGCCATCCTATCCCTCAGCACTGCAGACCCTCTCCCATTTAGGTGTAACCCATCACTGCTATAAAGGTTGTAGCAAAGCACAAAGTCGGCCCAGTGCTCTAAAAACCCCAAACCCTCCTTCTTGCACCAAGATTCAGCAACGCACTGACCTCTCTAATCTCCTGCTGCTTTTCCACTGTAGCACAGGTAATATCTCAGAGAATACCACCTTGGAGGTCCTTTTCTTAAGTTTGCTACCTAATTCCCTGAAATCATTCTTTAGGACTTTCCATCTTCCTCTTACTTTGTCATTGGTACCAACATGGGCCATGACCACTGGGTCACCCCCAGCCCCTCCCAATAATCCATCCACTCTGTCAGCAACATGCTGGACCTGAGCACCTGCAAGACAGCAAACTGTCTGGTCAAGCCGATCAGAGTGGCAGATTGTCCTATCTACCCTCTTAATGATAGAGTCCACTACCACCACAACCTGTCTAGCCTTCCTTACATTTTCATCCCCACCCGTACTAGAGGGCCTGTTCCCTCGGCTGCTAGAAGGAACAGCTTCCTCTAACACAGCTACTCCTGAGCTGATGCTCCCAACATCTTCACTCAAACTGGCAAATCAGCACAAAATCAGAACTAGCTAGCCCTTTCCTCTTCCCTCCTCCCCTGCTTCCTTGCCCCACTATCACCCAGCTACGTCTTATCTCATCCCACTACACTACCTGTCCCCACTAAACTCTGCTCAGTGAGCAAACAGACTCCTCTCAAAATTGTCGATCTCAAATCTGAGCTTCCAGAGAAGCCACTCACACACACTTGTCACAAAGGTATGGACCCTGGACGGGTACATCCAGGCATGCATACATGTAACAAGATGTGCATTCAGTCAAACCAGCAATCTTGCTAACACTCATTTCCCCAGATACAGAGCAGTAAAACAATTACCTTGCTAGTTTAAACCCCTTGTTTGTTTGTTTTTTGTTTTAACGCCTGGTTGTCCAAATCCTACTTGAAAGAGTTTGCTTTCAAGCAATGTGAGCAAGTTCAGTGAGTTAGGGGTGTGCTTATATGGGAATACAAATCCCACACAGGTGGCAATTAAGGACCACTCCCCCAATTAATCAAGTAGCAGCATAAAGGGGGGGAAAAAACAGAACACAGAAATAATAAAAAAAATAAAAAACAAACCACTCTCCACAGTATACAAACCACTCTCCAATGAACTACTAACTACTAACTCCTACTTGCAATAACCCATCTGATAATACAATTGACGTCAATCACATTGTCAACATACATTATGGCTCATACTGCAACCCACATTTCACTGTGTATGGAAGTATTGGTATGTGTGAGACAAAGGCTGAAAAATATGATAAATAACCCACTAGTTAGACTGTAAAGAAAAAGGGAATGAATAGGCTTACAGTGCATTCCAATGTTTGTAAACATACTTGTCATTTCCCCCTCTTCTCTTCATGCAGCACTGTGACAGAGATCTTTATTGTGGTAAAGTAAGAGCAACTCTCACCCACTTCTACTTGTTGTGATAATAAAGGGATCTAGTTGCAGTATATTGTCATACATTGAGTAAGTCTGTCATCGTTACCTCATTTTTGACCTATTTAATGACCATTATTATTAAATTAACCATTTTACAGGGAACATTTACCCTTCTAGGGCTCTTTACATTTCAGGCTTTTAATGTGGCACCTGGGTCAAGGAGGGTGCAAAACCTAGGGGATTTGGCCAAAGCCCCTAATCTAGATATGTATAGAGAACAGAAGGAGTGCCTTTATCAGAGCATACATCATATTTATTGGTCCTGCTGTGACAAATACATACAGCCTACAAAATACAACTCACTCAACTTCAAACCAGCTTTAAAGCCCATAATGCTTTTAAAATAATTGTAATTAAAAGGTTATTTTCAAGCACCATGACCACTTCAGTGATTGGAAGTGGTCTTGGTGCCTGGAGTCTGTATGTGCAGGGTTTTGCTTTGAAATGCTGTACATACAAAAATTAACTCATTAGCCGCTGGATGTGCAACTCCACACAGGACTCCATTTGCCAGGTTCTACTCTAAAGTATACATAATGGTAAACTATAACTAATGGGAAAATAATGACATCAAGAAACCCCACAAAATACATATAATCAGACACTGCAGTGGTTTATATATTAATATCTCCAGAACCTTGTGTTGACATTATTTTTTCTTAATACTAACATCTCCATTATGTATTTTCTATGTATCACTCAATCATGCAATGTTAATAAGGAAATGAAAGAGCAAGCATTGATGCAATTCAGAAGTAGTGCAAGTAATTTTATATTGTCATAGAGCAAGGACCCTGTTTGTGCAGCTTTGAAACACTTAGATAGCTAATGTTGCTGCCAAAGGTATAACTCCACCTCCAACATCTCATTAACAAAGCCCGGAAACCACTGGGTCAGTTTTGTACTTTTTCCTTGCACATGCAGTTATTCATTGGTTGAGAACACTCAGACGTCACTCTCAGCCAATGAATAAATGGCGAGATCTACATCTGGCTTCTGCAGCTCTGAAAAAATCCAGATGTCGTGCTGCTGGCATTGAGAGAGACACGGCACCTGTAGAGACTTAGGTATGAGGAAAACTGTTTCAAAATGGTTTGTTCCACTTCTGGGGAAAGCCAGTGTACTCCTCACATCATTATCAGTACAGTGGTCTGTAATGCTAATGATGCTCTGAGTAACCCTTTAACTTCACAAAACCCTCATAAATATGTTTTATATATATATATATATATATATATATATATATATAAAACTTGAATGTTATTTTTATTTGGGAATAAAAGGGTACAGAAAGCAAAAAAGGAGGCCAGGCAATGTGTACATGAAGGGTATGGGTTGGATTTTACTGCTTTTGGAAGATTTGTAAAATAAAAACTGCTTCACTAACCTGAAATTGTCTGGAAATGTTAAATTTTAAGACAAAATCTTGATGATAATACATGATATTGACAGAGAAAGATTGGAAAAACCTAAACATTTCAGAAAGTGCTTTAATTCACCTGAATTTGGGGTTGCTGAAATTTCTTAATAAACATCAACACTCTGACTGTGTAATTTGAGGGTGGTGACAAAACATTTTATTTTTACCTTTTAATATATTGAAGTTTATAATAATGTTTATGTTGTTGGAATGTACACAAGTATATTTGTTTGATGTTCTTCTTTCACCTTATCATATTTGTTTACATTTCTTTATATTTTGCATTTATTTTGTTAACATTTTTTTAATAAAAAAAGAAAAACATTTGCGCAAGGTTCTTACAGTATAAATTTTTAAAAGCAAAATAATTTAAAATACAGTTGTACAAGTGGCTTCTTACATGAAGTATGCAGCTGATGGAGTTGACAAATGAGATTTGTAAATGTGAGCGTAACTGTATAATCGCGTTGTGCAATAATAGTCATAAATATATTAATGAGTATGACATGAAGATATGTCAGTCACAATTCTGCTCCATGCAGTCAGTCAAGGCCAAAACTGTTCTTCAGTTTTACGATCTGACTGCAATGAGTGAGATGATTGTTTTACCAGGTCTGCCTATTTATAAAGCTGAGGTTGAATGTCTGCACATAAAGGACATAATAAGTCAAATGGTTATGACCCACATTATTATTTTAAGCTACAGCACCAATTAGTTACTAAACAATAAGAAGCATGTAGTATCCATTATCATGAACAGATGTTCCTGTGGGATGCATATTATATAAATAAATAAGAAAAACCATGCAAAAAACATTGCCATTTTTTTAAATTACCCATGGGACACTAAAAAAAAATCAAACTCAATACATAAATAGAAAGAGTCTGTGGTATATACGCAGTGTTGTTACTGAAAAATTATTGTTATTTGAAAAAAACAACATACAAAAAGTAGGTTCTAAAGGAAATAGGTAAGTTTATTTAAAAAAAAAAAAAAAGACCCGACAGTACAGGTAAGCTTCACTTATGCAGCAAACTGCCACGCACACACTGAGGGAAGAAGTTTGCGGTTTCCAAACTATTTGCAGTGGCACAGAAACACACTGCAGATCTAATAATCCATCTTTTACTAGAAATAAAATAAATCACAAATCATCAAGCTCTGAAAGACACGCACACAGGGAAGCCCACAATAGTGAAACACCGTTTATAGCAAAAAAAACCCAACATTTAAAAACATATATATGCTCACAGTTTGCAGTGCTAAACACAGCATTGCATTTTTTGCTGTTTGTGTTCAACTGCAAGGGCCATCGGCGCAGGACCCATTTTACTAATTTATTGCACCAACACATAAAATATACTGTTTTATAAAGGACAAAAAGGTCTTTAATTTGATGTAACATATACATATATAAATGCTCATTTATACTAAAAAAATATTTTTAAAAATAAAAAAAGGAAAATATATAATTCTTTTACAGTTTGTGCAATAATAATGTGTGCATAATTAGTACAGGTTAAAGAAAGTAATTAAAAATAAATTAATTTAGTTGTTCTGATTTGCAGAATATATAATGCGTCTAGGATTTGAAGTTTTTTTTGGTAGTGACAGGTCACAAAACACAAGGAGTAAAATAAACTTTTAATGTTGAGCGATTTTAGAATTTGGTATGTTTGTCTTGTAAGCTTAATAGCCATAAAACAAAAACAAAATTGCCACATAAAAGTATATATTTGTATAAAGTAGACATAACAGGCTATTTACCTGAGGTTATTTTGACACTTTTTATGTAGCCATTTCACCGCCAATCTCTGCTAAATATTGGATTAAAATTGGGATTTTTATTGTTTTTGACACAAAAATTTATAACAAAGATCTTCTCATGTGTATTTCGTAAAGTTGGTGTGTACTATTCCTGTACAACTTTATTTTGTGTTTAGCTACATCTTCTGAGTACAACGATACCCCCATTGTATGTCTTTGGCAATATTTTATGAAGCTACAGTGCCATATAGGAGACCTGTCCATTTCAGTATTTACAATAGAATTTTAAGAGATGGATTTAATGGGCCTATGTTTCAATTCGGGGTATTATAGCAATTTGACTGTTCAAAAAAAAACCACAAAGGCCTACCATTTGTAAAAGTAGACACTCCAGGGTATCTCATATGGTGCATATTGTGCCTTAACATGCCCCCATTTTTTTTCACCAATATATGCCGAAGTATGTGGTAAAAAATAATTTTGGGCATTTTTTACATACATATTACATTTTTGCTGGGCATTTTGTATATTTGATATGTGCCACTAAGTTCAAACCCTCCAAATTATGCTCAGCTAAGACTTCTGAGTAAAATGATACCCCCAATGAATGTCTTTGGCACTATTTTGTGAATCTACAGTGCCATATAGGAGACCTGCCCATTTCAGTATTTACAGTAGAATTTTGAGAGACGGATTTGATGGACCTATGCTTCAATTTGGGGTATTATAGCAGTTTGACTGCTCAAACAAAACTCGCAAAGGCCTACCATTTGTAAAAGTAGACACTCCAGGGTATCTCATATGGTGCATATTGTGCCTTAACATGCCCCGATTTTTTTTCACCAATATATGTCAAAGTATGTGGTAAAAAATAATTTTGGCATTTTTTACATACGTATTACATTTTTGCTGGGCATTTTGTATATTTGATATGTGCCACTAAGTTCAAAGCCCCACAAATATGCTTAACTAAGTCTTCTGAGTAAAATGACACCCCCAATGAATATCTTTTCCACTATTTCGTGAAAGTGCAGTGCCATATAGGAGACCTGTCCATTTCAGTATTTACAGTAGAATTTCTAGAGACGGATTTGATGGGCCTATGTTTCAATTTGGGGTATTATAGCAGTTTGACTGTTCAAGATAAAATCACAAAGGCCTACCATTTGTAAAAGTAGACACTCCAGGGTATCTCACATGGTGCAGATTGTGCCTTAATATGCACCCAACCTTTCACCAATATATGTCAAAGTATGTGGTAAAAAATAATTTTTGGCATTTTTACATACGGAGTACATTTTTGCTGGGCATTTTGTATATTTGATAATTGCCACTAAGATCGAAGCCCCAAAATTATTCTCAGCTAAGTCTTCTGAGTAACATGATACCCCAATGAATGTCTTTGGAACTATTTTGTGAAGCTACAGTGCAATAAAAGAGACCTGTCCATTTCAGTATTTACAGTAGAATTTTGCGAGACGGATTTGATGGGCCTATGTTTCAATTTCAGGTATTACAGCAGTTTACTGTTAAAAAAAAAACCCCACAAAAGCCTACCATTTGTAAAAGTTGACACCCCAGGGTATCTCATATGGTGCAAATTGTGCCTTAAGATGCCCCCATTTTTTCACCAATATATGTCAAGGTATATTGTAAAAAATAATTTTTGCATTATTTACATACATTTTAAATTTTTGCTGGGCATTTTGTATATTTGATATGTGCCTACCATTTGTTAAGTTGACACCCTAGGGTATTTCAAAAGGCATATTTTAAACTTTTAAATGTTTTTGCTAGCTTTACCAAGTCTAGTAGCAATTAGCATTTTTTTCTGTCTTTTTGACACACACTTGGAGATGTTACTGTATATTTTGCAATCCTTATGTGTGCTACAGCAGTATAACACCTAATATGTTACTCAGCTATGTCGTCTTAGTACAACAATACCCCCATGTGTACCTTTTTCAGGACAATGTGGATGTTGAAGGGGCACATCGGAGACCAAGCCAAATCAGTTTTTACCAAACTTTGAATTATGATGCTGGGCCCATGTGCAATTTTCAAGCATCTTAGCAGGTTTTTAATTCAAAATACAATTTTTTAAAGTAGATGCCCCAGGGTATTTCAAAAGGCATAGTTTAAACCTTAGCGTAGGATCATTTTTTTCTAGTTTTTACCCAGTCTAGTAGCAATTAGCATTTTTTCTGCCTTTTTGACACACAATTGGAGATGTTACAGTACATTTTTAAATCCTTATGTGTACTATGACAGTATAACACCTAATATGTTGCTCAGCTATGTCATCTTAGTACAACAATACCTCCATGTGTACCTTTTTTAGGGATATGTGGATGTTGAAGGGGCACATTTGAGACACCGATTTCATATTTTTCAAAAGTGGATGCTGGGCCTAAGTCTCATTTTAGCAGCTCATGATTGTAAATTACCTCTCAAAGGCCACATCTATTTTTAAATATAAGCCACTCATCAATTCAAATTATGAACAAGTGCATACTATTTGCTGTGAAAGGAGGAATATTTGGTGTAAACTTATCAGGGGGTAGTACCCAGTCTTGGTGTCACGGCGCAACACTATCACGGATTGCGGAACCAAAACACAGACAGACCACAAAGAGAGAGTACACAGAGAAAGAAACTTGTAATACCAGTCCTTAGAATGGCTATACAAGCAGAGAATAGTAAAGTTACGAGTCATGGTCAAAGGAGTAAAGATAAACAGAACAGTGATAGGCCAAGCCGAGGTCAAGGATCAGAGAAGACAGGATAAACAGAGACAAAGCCAAGATTCGGTAACCAAACAATCAGACAGATGACTAAAATCACACCGGTTTACTTATTCGGCCTAGGTATGGAAAATTATATATACGTAGGCTGGGCTGAGAGGGGCAATCAGGGCAGTAATAACTGGTCTCAGCTCTTACACTCTTTTTGTAATACACCCTGTACCTTCTGGGGTGGGGGGAGGTTCTGTTTGGGAGTTGATAGAATCCTGAAGCAGAAGTGACCTGCCACCTTTCTTCTGCTAGGCTCCACTGATGGTCCACCTCTGTGGCACTCAAGCAGCCCAGAAATGAGCTAAATCTGAAATGAAGGCAATGTGCCTCTCAGCTCAGCATTTGCCTTTTTGAAAAATTACAAAGGCATTGTGGATTGCCGTCTGCATTATATATATGCCCACTTTATTATACCATGCCCTGGTCTTTCGCATGATCAAATATGACTGCATCAGTTGATCAGACAGGTCAACTCCCCCCATATGCTGATTGTAATGTTTATGCAGACTGGCACCCATTTAATTTCCCCTCTGCCATGAACTGCAACCTTGCAAGTGCGTTCACCATGGATGGTGGTTAGGATGAACACTTTTTATCTCAGTACAAAGTACTGCGATTTTTTTTCTGCTAGAGCCTTTGGGAAACTTGTGCAACTCTTCCGAATAGTGCCACAGGCCACCGTCTAAAAGCAGTACATAATTTTTAGAAGTGGGATACTATTGTAAAAATTATCGATACACAAGTGATATCCCTTGTTTAGTAATGGCATTATTAGGTCCCATACAATTTTCTATATATCTGGACAACCTGAGGTGGCTATCCCTTCCTTTGTATACACGGAAGGTATACACATAGCCACTGCCACTTTCACACAATTTATAAAATTTCATCCCATATCGGGATCTTTTGTATGGGATGTACTGTTTAAACTCTAGTCTTCCCTTAAACTTCATGAGGGATTTGTCAATAGAAATATTTTTTGGGGGGGGTATGGTGGCACATTTTTCATTAAAGTGGGCAATTAGAGGGCATATTTTATATATAACATCATACTGTGGATGACCTTGGCCATAAGAGACTCTTGATTGTGCTTCCTGGCCATAAGAGACTCTTGATCTCCCCAAAAATATCATCCCCCATGAACAGCTGCATACAATCCAGCGCATTATAGCCACACATGTCAGCCTGTATGCCAGGATTGGCAGTGAACTCTGGGATGTCTAGTGAAAAATTATTAGCGAGTACCCAGTCATCTGCGACATGTTCAACATCAGGGGAATCAGCGATTTCTCCTGATGGTCCTGCAGTGTCTGTCACATAGTCCCTGTCCCCTGCGTCACTCCCTCCTTCATTCTCTGAGGCAGTGTCTGTCGCCTCTGAGTCATCCACTAAAGAGGGCATAAGCCTCCTCTGCACTATACTTCCTAAGCATTCTGTACCATGTTAATAAACTTTAACTAAATAACAAAACTTTAATTTTTGTAACTTTTTTTCCTTTCTACCCTTAACTAGCTTATCACTAAATTCCCCAATTTCCACTAAATTCCACCCACCCCAACTAACTAATTCATAAATTAATAAAATAATATATTAAACTTTAACCCCTTAAAAAATCTAATTTAACCCCTGAGGGTAAAAAAAAAAATCTATATCACAGTAAAGTACTGGGATCTCTATTTTGATCACTGCTGGCAGTGATCAATCATCAGGAAAAGGGTTAATTTAAAAAAAAAAAACAGGGTAAAGGGGATTTGGAACCTCTTCAGACAATTTATTCACTTAAGGGACACAGTATAACAATGATCTGTCTCTCTCCACTTCAAAAACCCACAAGAGGTGGAGGGAGGCAGTTCTGACATCCCAGCAGCATTGTGACCGCTGGCTGTGACATCACAATTTGCTGTTGCTGGTCTGCCCCTTGAAGCACCCAGCAACAGCGTTAACCCAGCTACCGCAGCAATCTGGGGTTAATTATAGCACAAGGGTGGAACAGATTCTACCGATGATGCATTAGCCCACGGAGCTATCTCCCTGGCATTATTTAAAGGACACTATAGACACAGGGATGTTTTAGCCATGAGGCAAATAAGGCATTTGCCTTGGGCGGCATTTTTAAGGGGGCAGCAAAAAAAGCAGCCCCCAAATGCCCAGGCAAATACCTTGTTAGCCTTGCGGCTAACAGTCCGGGCGGGCAGGTAGGAAGGCAATGCGGGCGGGCGGCGCTGGCGAGGGAGCATTTTCCCCTGAGCTCTCTGCTCTGACGTCATATTCCGGTGCCCAGCATCACTCTGCGGGCGGCGCACGAGGGAGCTGAGCAGAGAGCTCAGGGGAAGTGCTCCCTCGCCAGCAGGGACCCCCCCCCAGCATTCCCAAAGGTAAGGAGGCTGGGGGTTAAATAAAAAAAAGTGAGTGTGTTAATGTGAGTGAGTGTCTGTGTGTGTCTGTTAGTGTGTGTGTCTGACTGTGTGTGTCTGTTAGTGTGTGTGTGTCTGTGTGTGTGAGACTGAGTGTGTCTGACTGTGTGTCTGTTAGTGTGTGTATCTGTTAGTGAGTGTGTGTGTCTGTTAGTGAGTGTCTGTTAGTGTATGTCTGTTAGTGTGTGTGCGTCTGTTAGTGTGTGTGTCTGACTGTTTGTGTCTGTTAGTGTGTGTGTGTCTGACTGTGTGTGTCTGTTAGTGTGCGTGTCTGACTGTGTCTGTTAGTGTGTGTGTGTTAGTGTGTGTGTGTTAGTGAGTGTGCGTGTGTCTGTTAGTGTGTGTGTGTCTGACTGTGTATGTCTGTTAGTGTGTGTGTGTGTGTGTCTGTTGGTGTGTGTGTGTCTGACTGTGTATCTGTTAGTGTGTGTGTGTTAGTGAGTGTGTGTGTGTCTGTTAGTGTGTGTATCTCACTGTGTGTGTCTGTTAGTGTGTGTGTGTCTGACTGTGTGTGTCTGACTGTGTGTGTGTTTCTGTTAGCTAGTGTATGCGTATCCGTCAGTGAATGTGTGTGTGTGTATATTTAGAAGGCGGGGCAGGGGGGAAGGGTTGGGTGAGGGTGGCGTGCACAAAACCAAGATACACCACTGTATAGACAGTAACACAACCATAACCTAAATGAATCTGTTATGGTGCCAGGAGGCCCAAAAGACACTCTTACTTAAAGGAGTTAAACAGTTTTTGAACAGTTTAACACGACAGATGCCTCAAGAGTGATGTCCACTAGCTCCCAGGCAGCATCACTACATAATTTCTCAGTCTCAGCCAATCAGTGACTCCCCATTCACAAAACTGGCTTTGAAAAGGTACATTTCTTTACAAGTCAGTTTTGTAAATTGGTAGCGGTTAATTGGCTGACAGCATCACCCTGCCCAGTACCACTCTGAAAATTCAGAATATGGATGTCATCAGGGGCCTCCTGGCACAAAATAAAAGTAACATTTTATTGCTAAACTTACCCTTTATTATATTATAGATCCTAATAAGTCTTAACGATTTAGACAGAAGCAAACATAGACACACTGATCAGTCACAACTTTAAAACCACCTGCCTAATATTGTGTAGGTTCCCCTCATCCTGCTAAAACATCTCTGATGTGTCGAGGCATGGACTTCACAAGACCCCTAAAAGTGTACGGTGGTATCTGGCATTAATACATTATCAGCAGATCCTTTAAATTTGCAAGGTGGGGCCTCCATGGATCGACTTGTTGTTCCAGCACATCCCACAGATGCTCAATTGGATTGAGACCTGGGAAATTTTAAAAACTGTGAACTCTTTAAAAACTGTGAACCTCAAATCACTCAAATTTCATGTTCCTCAAAATTTTTGCAGTGTGGCAGGTTGTATTATCCTGTTGAAAGAAGAAACTGCCATCAGGGAACACCATTGCCATGAAGGGGTGCACGTGGTCTGCAACAATCTCTAGGTAGGTGGTGTCAAAGTAACTTCCACATGAATGCCAGGACCCAAGGTTTCCTAGCATTTGTCCAGAGCATAAAACTACCTCCGCTCGCCAGCCTTCTTCCTATAGTGCATCCTGCTGCCATCTCTTCCCCAGATAAGCGATGCACACACACCCAGTCATGCACCTGATCGAAAAGAAAATGTGATACATCAGGCCAAACAACCTTCCTCCATTGCTCCTTGGTGTAGTTCTGACTTGTTCTGATGCTCACATCCCCACTGAAGGCTCTAGTGGTGGTGAACAGGGGACATCATCGGTACTCTGACCAGTTGGCAGCTACACAGTTCCATATGCAGCAAACTGCAAAACATTGTGTGTTCTGACTCCTTTCTATGATGGCAAACATTTATAATCAAGTTGAGCTACAGCAGCTCTTCTGTGTGATTAGACCAGAAAGCTAGCATCCCTTGACAGGGGCCCTTGTAACAATATAACCAATATGATCCTGTTCACCTGTCAGTGGTTTTAATGTTGTGGCTGATCAATGTAAACGATTCAATGATAGCAGTAGTTGTTACTTAATTGCTGGTACACACACACAAGTTACAAAAGTAACACATTGCTGCCAGTTTTATCTTCCACTATAGTATAGATTATGGCTGATCTACCAGTATAAAACTGCAACTCCCATGATGCTTTGTCATTCTAAATGCATGCAAAGCATCGTAGGAGTTGACAACATCTGGGGATCTTGCTATTAGGTATAGATCATAATGTAAAACCATTGAAACAGTAGCACGCATAGTTTCATATACATTCCTGTGAAATACATACACTTACTATATATTAATGATTTATTTCTCTCTTATTAAGTCAATTTGTTATTTAGTTATGATTGACTTAACCCACAGCTAAGATACCCACAGCTAAGATAAATGACTAATGGTATTGGCTCCAGAGGTAATCAGCTGGCCTGGCAGCCAGCAAGTAATTATTTCCTAACTGCCACATTGCTGAGGCAGAGAGCAATAGCCGATAGATGGTCCTGGCGTGCATTGTTACACAAAGTTATGGTGCAGGACCACTGTAATTAGCTATCACAGTGGTCCTTTGCAGTTGTGCAGCCATTAAAATTGTTACCTCATAGCCTCATAGAGAGTTCCCTTGTTAATAGAGATCCCCCCAGCTCGAGATCAAGAGTACACTTGTCCCTTTATTTTGCCTTAGACTAAATCTCCTTTCTTCCAATCTAAATGGGTGACCTTGCGTCCTATGTATAATACTATTTATAAATAGATTTCCAGACAATGGTTTGTATTGGCCCTAAATATAATTGTTAGTGATGTCCTGAACGGTTTGCCAAACGGTTCGCGAACGGTTCGCCGCGGACTCATCATTGAGTAAACTTTGACCCTGTACCTCACAGTCAGCAGACACATTCCAGCCAATCAGCAGCAGACCCTCCCTCCCAGACCCTCCCACCTCCTGGACCGCATCCATTGTGAAGCTGCATTCTTAGTGAGCTGTCCAGGAGGTGGGAGGGTCTGGGAGGGAGGGTCTGCTGCTGATTGGCTGGAATGTGTCTGCTGACTGTGAGGTAAAGGGTCAAAGTTTACTCAATGATGAGTCCGCGGCGAACCGTTCGGCGAACCGTTCGGGACATCACTAATAATTGTATAATGCTGTCATATCCTCTCTGATGTGACATTTTTCTAAACAGAACATATTTAAATGTGTTAATTATGGCACTTTTTCTAGTGCCATAATATCCTTCTTTAGAACAGGTGCCCAAAATTGCACAACATATTCAAGGTGCGGTCTTATAAAGATGCAAAATTATATTTTTATCCTGAGAATTAATGCCCTCTTTAATATTTATTTACACATTTAGAAGTACACCTTTCTAATATGTGTTCAGAGATATTGCATTTACCCTCAGTGTTTTTTTTAACTAAAGAGTTTATGCCAGTCAATATGTTGTAAAGCTGCCATAATCTTACTTAAAATATGCATTATGCACATTACCCAATATTATGCAAAATATGAAGTTGCCATGTAACATTTAGAGGTTAATTCAAGTGTGGATACTAACAATGGTATCCAAAATGTAGTATATTTTTTTAAGCATTCCATGACCTGACATGGCTTAAAGCCCTTGAGGTTTGTTGCTACCACAAAACACCAAGGAGCATGTACACTGTGTGAGTGCCAGTACATTCTTTTCTTCCTGCGACAGAGAGTTGTCATGTTTGAAGTTGGACTGCTGTAGTTTAATTGCCATGACATTTAGAATATAGCTTGAAACTTAGAGGATGTGTATGCCAGTGCACTATATTATGTACTATGTGTGTTGCTGACACAACCTGATGCATAATTATTACTATTATTGACAGTTTTGTTCTACTTCCCCCAGGGAAGACAATGAATTTTCATGCAATGAATGCTCTTTTATTTTTTATTGTAAACTTTCAATCATTTTAGAAATCTGAAGTTTCACTGTTATGAATGGATAATTAAACATGTTGTTTCACACTAGTCAGTGGAAGGCATTTATGTGTTTTACAAGTCCAAATAGCCCAAATAGCCCTGTACTGAATGGGGCAAAACCAGCCAGCTGAGTGTAGGGCCACTTGGACAGCAAAATCCATACACTGTTCATGCAAAAATCTGAACATTGTTCAGTAAATTACTATCTCAAGAATTGCATTTTGTGCTAATTAAAAGTTATACAACAGTATTCTGGTTAAATCATTCTATAGTCAGTTGTAACTAAACCTTAGTCACATAGCTTGCCCTGCACAAACTCACAATTGCATTTAAACCTAAATTAGGGTATGCATTTGGGACCATTTCTTGTATCATTAAAGGGACACTATCGGCACCAAATCAACTTTAGCTTAATGACACAGTTTTGGTGTACAGATCATGCTTTGCTACTCAATTCTCTGCCATTTAGACGTTAAATCACTTTGTTTATGGGCCCTAGTCATACCTCCCTGCATGTGACGTGCACAGCTTTCCTAAACACTTCCTGTAAAGGGAGCTCCAATGATTAACTCCTTAAGGACAAGTGCCGTAAATATTCCATCATGATTCCCTTTTATTCCAGACATTGTGTCCTTAAGGGGTTAAACTTATCTTATGTACTGTTCTTTTAATAGCCTCATAGATCCTGCAGGTGCCTCCTGTGTATACTTAAAGTTCAATTAACAGAGCAGGAGTAAGTTAACATCTTTCAAAATTAAAGCAATTTTTCATGCAGGCTTTATGACAGTCAGGGGACTTGTGGTTAGGGCTGCATAAAGAGAAACAAAAGTGATTTAACTACTAAATAGCAATGAATTTAACAATTAAACTGCAGTGGTATGATCTACACACCCAAACTGCTTCATTAAGCTAAATTTTTTTAGTGACTATAGTATCCCTTTAAATAATGGAGCAACCCTTCAGAACTTATCTGTCTCTGCACAACAGCAAAAGCCAGTTGAAAGTTTATTTCCACACAAGGTGAGGTTGTTGTCTCATTTGGAAAGGTGACTTGTATTTTAAAACACTGGTCTGGGGGGAATTACAGCTGGATTAAAGCATAGCCTGGTAGTGCTGCTGCTGAATACTTACTCTCACAAACGTAAAATGCTGTGCCTGTTTCATTTAAATATTTGTTTCCCATTTTCCCCTATTTGGAAACATTTTCTGTATCTTTAAATGCTGGTGTAAATGAATGTTTGCTAATTAGATTATACCTCTGTCCCTTAGCATTTAGAGAGACAGGAAATAATCCCAAATAGTGCAATGAATGGAAAGATGGGGAGCAAGTGCAAAAGGTAACAGGGACGGCATGATACTTTGGATGGCCATAACCTCAATGGAGAATATTTTTGGTTGTAAATAAGAAAAAAATATATTTACCTTTCCTTTTATGTTTTACTATTGTAATGCAATCATTTCAAAATGTATCAAAATATATAGTAATTTATGTTATATAAATTGTAGTAGTGTATATCCAGGGTATATGCCTTGAATCAAGCCTTTTATGTACAACCCCATTCCCCAACCAGTTCCATGACCCTAGCAGATTGCCAAAGATTTTCAATAAAAATGATAATCAATGTTTAGAGCCCCATTAATGTTAATACCAAAAATATTTCTTTATATGAGCAGGCTAGTACATTGTTATTATTATTATTATTATTATTATTATAAAAGGATGATTGGTAAGGATAGGGATAAACCTGTCCAGATAGAGTGGAAAAGACTGGGAATAACCGTTGGATTTGGTGGAAGGCTAAACATTTAAATGATATAAGAAGCTCACATAAATCTCAACTGGTAAAGCAAAACCCCTATTCAGGCTTAAAATATATAGTAGAAAGTAAGGATACTAGATCCTAAACGTACCAGGAAATAAATAGTCAGATGGCAGTAACAGTAAAATCATTAAACGAAATGTAGGGATATACAGTAAAAGTGATGTCCCCAATAGAGAAGGGGGGCACTATTGAGTAAACACTGAAATTGTCAAATTCAAAAAAGTGACATAGTAATTGGTAAAATAAAACACAAAAAACGCTACTTTATATACTATAAAACATAGGTTAAAAATGATAGCATCAAATTAAAGTCCATATGGCAACAGTCTGTAGCACTGAGAGTGGTGATATTTTGTTGCAAATATGTATCAGCTATCAGGATAACAGACTCCTGTTACTATATAGCAGGAGCTGAAATAATTTGAGGCTGATGTACTATAACCTGTAATAGACAGTGGGAAATAGGTATGATTCTTCTTTTACAGTATACAATACCTGACCATGTAGTGGTCTCTTGTGTTGAATGATGTCTTGAGGTCACCATAGGGCAAAAGACAGGAAACATAGTGTTCTCTGTAAACACTTTATTGGTATAGATACAACAGTTAAAAACACTTACAGACTCCCCGAAATGAAAGGCATATCTGTGTAAATGCAGGAATCTTGGTTCCAGATGGTATTTGGGTGCAGACTAGGGACCGTCGTGGGCGTTCCACCTGGATAACTCTCCTGCGTTCCACTGTAATCCTTCTCAGAGGAGCATCTGCTTGGTGCACTTGCCTTATGCGTTTCGTGACTTGAGGCTAATCACTTCTTCAGAGGCTAATGACTTGAGGGATCTTGGTAGAATTTATTTATAGCCCATAATCCCGTTAATACAAATTATTTCAGCTCCTGCTATATAGTAATAGGAGTCTGTTATCCTGAGAGCTGATACATATTTGCAACAAAATATCACCACTCTCAGTGCTACAGACTGTTGCCATATGGACTTTAATTTGATGCTATAATTTTTACCTATGTTTTATAGTATATAAAGTAGCATTTTTTTTTTCACTACTTATTTCCTGGTACGTTTAGGATCTAGTATCCTTAAGTTCTATTTGTATACTAAAAGAGTCTATTCACTAAAAATTGAAATGAATTGATTTGTCAAGGAAATTGCAACATCTCTAGGCCAAGGTAGTTGAGTTGAAAAATAAAAGTTGAATTTGAGATTTTTTCCAGTTTTGCTATTTTGGCCATGATTTTGCTATTCCTTTGCAAATTCACTACAATTCACTTTTTACAGTGTTATTTTCTAAAATGAGAATTGCTGGGAATTGAAACTAAATTCTAAACCAAACTGGCAGCGGTTCCCAAATTGTCTATGCTTCCAGTTTGGATACTTACTAATTTCAGTGCTCCTCTGGGGCAGCCCCTATGTGTGTAGGCTGTGTTGACTAGCCAGTTGTCTGGCATCACAGATAGTATGTTTCTAATGCTAGTGGGGCACCCCACAAAACAGGTGTCTGGTGGTGGTTGGGCGATCCCCCCCTCCACCCTCAATCCACCTTAGTACACCTGTGTATATCTGTATAAGTAAAGGTGTGTATCATGTCTTTCTTTGATTGTAGCATTTTAATAATATTAGATAAAAGGCTGATCTCTTTTTTATTTTATTTCAGAATGAACATTTGAAGAAGATAAAAAAAGAAAGAAGATTGTCAATACTAAATAAACATTTACAATCAACACAATATGTCTGAAAGTATAAGCCTCACTTCACTCCCATCAGCTTCTTCCATTTATCAACCAACTATGTTTAATTATGAACGCCCAAAACATTTCATACAATCACAACTGAAATGTCAAGGAGAGCCGACTTCACCAGCAGGTACAGCGCCTAAGCAAACAAATGTAGTGGCAAAATCAACTATTTTTATCCAACCTCAGAGCTTCATTGAACGGAAACCTCCACCATTATGTCCTACAACCACTTCGGTACCGACTTTAACCGTTTCAATTAGCTCATCTAAAAAACCTGATGTAACAGAAAAACCACAGTCTACAAGTATTTCTGTACCCGAACACAACATTGCAGAACAATGCAAACAGGAGCAAACTGATTTTCGAAGCATATCACCTTTCAATAACAAAAAAGTGGAAAGGAACATTAGTTATGAATTACCTGAGTAAGTAATGTTTATGCTGGTAAAATATAAAAGTAATGTATCACACTTATTTAACTTATGTTCCAATTATATCATAAATATAAATTTCTATTTTTCAATAAT